GAGATTTAATTTAGCAGCTACTACAGCAACTAATTTCGCAAAACAAGTACAAGAAACGTGGAGGTCATGCCATTGAACTTGCATCAACAATTTATCTGCTGTGAAATGCACCTTATAATTAGTGTGTTTATAAAAATAAATAAGTATACTTAGGATGGTAAACTAACAATCACATGAAAGCAATTGAAAGAGCTACGTGGCCAAAAGGGTTCAAACAATTGATTAACACAATGTAAGTTACCTTCCCCTACAAATATGATATAACAATAAGTGCTTGGGGCAGAAGGAGTCCTCGGAGAGAAGTTCTCATCAAACAGACCTTTATGGGTAACAGATTTCATTGAGCAGTCTTCAACAGGTAGAAGATGGATCAGAAGAAGAGGAGAACGGGAAATCTTCACTGGGTTATCATCTTAGCTAATGAGCACTTTAACAAGATCCGTTCAAACTTCCTCCTACCATTTCATCTCGCCGTATCCAAATATTCTTCTATTTTACTTTCCTTCATAATCCTGTAGATTCCCATTGAGGTTATTGACTTGCTTGCTGAGCTGGCTTGTTATCATTCAGAGATTTCGTCACCATGCTAGGTAACATCATCAGTGAGGCCTCCGATGAAGCAATGTTGTTCTACTCCACTTGAAATTTATACTGTCCTTTCTGTTATGGTGAGTAGTGTCATTTCCGGTTTTCTGTGTGAGTTTGTATATGGGTCAAATTCTATGTTTGTTGATGGACTTGTGTGTTGAGGAGCATGCCTCCAGGAATTCCTGTGTGTGTCAATGTTGGGCTACTGTAGTTACGTTGTCCCAATTAAACTGATGGCCTTCATTGTCTGAGTGTACTGATATTAAGGAAAGTTTGTCATGTCGTTTTGCTGCTAGCTGATGTTCATGTGTTCTGATGGCTAGTTTCCTTCCTGTCTGTCCGATGTAATGTTTGTGGCAGTCATTGCATGGTATTTTGTAAATTTAACGTTGGTTCTGCATGTTGTGGGAATGGGGTTTTTAATCCTTGAGTGTTTGTCATAGAGTGGTTGTGGGCTTGTGTGCTACAATTATTCCTAGTGGTGTTAGGAGTCTCGTTGTCAGTTCTGATATGTTCTTGATGTAGGGCAGTGTGGCCAGTGTGTTAGGGTGTACTGTGTCCTCATGCTGTTGTCTGTTTAGTAGGCACCTGCAGATGAAGTTGCAGGGATATCTGTTCATAGTGAAGATTTTGTATTCGTGCTCTTCCTCTTTCCTGCATAGTTCAGGAGTGTTGCAGTGAGTGGTGACCCGTTTAAATAGTTTGTGGATGTTGGGATGGTTGCTGTGGAAGTTGAAGATTTGGTCAGTGTGGGTTGTTTTCCTGTATACTGAGGTTTGGAAACTCCATGATGGTCATACATTCAACTCTGATGTCTAGAAACGGAAGCTGATTGTTGTTTTCTTCTTCTCATGAATTTAATCTCTGCAAATACGTTGTTGATGAGGTGGTGGGTCTCTTCTAGTTTGTTGCGTTGAATAATGACAAATGTGTCATCTACGTACCAGATCCACAGGTTAGGTTGAATGTAGGGGAGGGTGGTGTGTTCTAGTTTTTGCATGACTGCATCTACGAAGAGTCCCGAGATGGGTGACCCCGTGGGTGTGCCATTGATCTGTATGTATACTTGACCATTAAAGCCGAACTGTGTGGTGAGGCACAGGTCTAATAGTTTGAGTATGTTGTCATTGCTGACGGACCTGCTGGTCTGCGTTCCTGCTTCCTCTAATAATGTGGCTGTCGGGTTTTTTTTTTTTGGATAATGGGATGTTGATTGACATGAATAATGCTGTGACGTCAAAGGATACCATAATCTCGTCGTCGTTGATTTTTATGTTGTTGGATGGAATGGGGTAATTCGTTGGCTAGGTGTGTCAGTCTCTGTTGTAGGTCCTTGGCCAGTTTATGTGAAGATGTCCCCGGTAGGGAGATAATGGGTCTGAGGAGGATATCTGGTTTGTGTACTTTAGGATGTCCGTAGAAGTGAGTGGGTGGGGTGCAGTGGTGTTCGTAGGTACTGTGATTTTTGGCGTAATTCTAAACAGTACGGACCAGCGGTGGACTACAACCCTAGAACAGGCCGTCACCATCAATCAACACGACCAAAACTAAGAAGACACACAAGCTACAGGAGAAACGTACCAAACGGATCCACCACAAAGACAAGGACAACAACAAACGGACACGTGGATAAGAAACCTATCCAGCAGACAACTCATGGAAACTGAGAAAGCTGTCCTATTATGCATACTGAATTATAACTAAAGATGCGAACAGAACAGACTTCATGGCCGGCCGCCTTGGAAACTGCGTTAAAAGACAACAGACTCACGGACGAAACATAACAAGTCATCCGACAAACTATAATCCCCACACTAAACCGAAGGAACTAATAGGACAACCTGAATACATCAGAGCGAAAAGCACTAGAAAAACTCTCAAAGACAAGAACATTATAATCCTACCAGCTGACAAAGGGCAAATGACAGCCAATGAACAAACCGGACTATGTTAAGAAAGCACAGGTATTGCTCGCAGATACTAACAGGCGGCAATAGACCCAACACCGCAGCTAGGTAATAGGATCACCCGGACACTGAAGAGACTAAAGGAATGCAGGACAGATAACCAAGGCGGACTACGTGAGAGTGAAACCAGAAGGCATGAACACCCCACCCCTCACTTCCTAAATTACACAAACCAGACACTGCCCTCAGACCCATTGTTTCCCTACCGGGCACAAACATTCCATCACCCCATTCCATCCACTCAACCCAAGAATTCCACAATACCCTCAAGAACATAAAAATCAGTGATGAAACAAGCCATCTTGGTGAGCAAGTCAACAACTTCACCCACAACCCGAGCTAAAAATCTTTGCTAAAACTTTCCCATTATATATAATATACTGTTATTAAAGATAGGAGACAAATGAATTTAAATATGAGACAAATTGAGTCTTTTGACTTTCTATCTTGAGTCATAGAACAAAAGTGAAAAACAACATTAGATTTAGACAAGATTACTTGGAGCACTGCTCTCTGTTTTGGTGCCTGTTATTGGAAGAATATGAAATCAATGGCAGAAGTGTAGCTTGAATTCACTAGGGTGATGCTGGAAATCAGGAGGTGGTTATGAACTGAAGCCTATAAAAATACAGATTTCTCCATTGGGATTAAGTACTAATTTCTGGAAAGATCTCAAATTATGATTGTTTACCTGAGTATCACTAGTGATTTTTCTTTTTCTTGAATGTTAGGAGTACAAAATGTTGCATTGAATTACAGGGGAGGTTAGAGAAAATTATTACATAATGTTATGGACCGGACCAGACCAGACTACACCACCTCAAAATGTTTTAAGGAGATAGCCTAACTTTTTCTTATTTTAAAGGCAAACATAAAGTGGTATGTTCCAGATGCAATTTGACTGGTCAAACTACTCTACATTAAGCAAAACATAATTTAATTAAAACACTATAATTAAAGTTTTGGCAAAGATCTGTAGCTTGGGTTGTGGGTGAGGCTGTTGACTTGCTCGCCGAGCTGGCTTGTTCTCATTCAGATGCTTCGTCACCATGCTAGGTGACATCATCAGTGGAGCCTCCGATGAAGCGGTGTTATTCTACTCCGCTTGGAATTTGTACTGTCTGGTCTGTTACGGTCAAGGACAACAACAATCCGGACACATGGATAAGAAACCTATCCAGCAGACAACTTAGAAACTGAGAAAGCTGTCCTATTACGCAGACTGAACTATAACCACAAAGATGTGAACCATATACAAACCCATACAGATCAAAACCAGAAATGACACTACTCACTGTAATAGAACAACATAATACAACAAAACATAATAAAACAAACAGTACAAATTCCAGGCAGAATAGAATAATATTCTTCATCAGAGGCTCCACTTATGATGTCACCTAGCATGGTGATGAAACGTCTGAACGAGGACAAGCCAGCTCAAGTCAACAACCTCACTGTACTTAAAATACAACAAAAGAAAGAGAACCTAGAATAACTTAACTATTGGAAAATTTAACAGAATAATCGATACAGTAACTATTACTAATTAACCTTTTCAATATAATAAAATCCTACAAACATGCCCCTTGGCAAAAAGGCAGATCAGAAAACAACAGATTTTCCCTCATTGCAATGCCCACAGTAGGAAGAGAAACCCCCGCTACTAGCTGTACCTGAGAGAGGGAAAGAAAAATGCTTTACTTCGTCAAGACTGCAGCAGCTTCTGCCGAATCTAAAAGGTTAAAAAAAATTGTAAGTCCTGGTCTGAGAGAGCTGGCCACACCCATCCAAGCTACTTGTTCCAACATTTCTAAAAAAAAAAGACCCCTAGGCCCCTCAAGCCGTTTAGTGGCTTTCCAACTGGACAGCTCAGTGCCTCTGTCTTAAAACATCTCTTGTTTAAAAAAAAACAAAGGCAGAACAAAATATAACCTCTTTAAAGCCACAGCATGATCACAATAGAAAGAAGTAAAGTTGTGGCAATCCGTTATTAAAAAGGGTTCCGTGAATGACATAGCTACTGACAAGGTGGTGGCAGGTGGAAATTGTTTCACAAAGGCTTTAAACATTATAATATGACTTAACTAGTCTAAGCTAAACAGCAAAGATTTAATCAGCAAACTGCTTTTTTTCTTTGCTATAGTGGACAACTAAACTTATTTACTGAATAAACATGTTATATTATTTGCCCAAATGAACATAATTTGTGTGCCTGTGTATATAATAGAGTCAAGAGTGAGATTTCAGTTGCATACTCCACGAGACCAAAAGCTGACAAGTCAGCAAGCATATGGTTACAGGCAACTGTTTGCATACAGGATTTCTGTCCAAAATATTTTAATTAGCAGTTTGTTATTGCTTTTGGCCTAATTTTCAAGCTGGCAAGTCTAATTGTTTGTTGTAATCTTATTCTTAATTTCAATTTTATTTATTTCTGAACAGTATAGTGGAAATACAGAAGGATGTGGAATACAGGCTGCCATTTACAGTAAACAATAAAACAATCAATTTAAACATGTAAGTATTTAAAGTACACATTTGAGATATTCATCTTGCGTAAAGTACATTATTTTTCAATCTTTTTTTCACTAGATTTTAATAGCTTTAACTTTCCGTGTTAGCAGCCTGTTTCTTGAAATGTCCTTTGAGGGTTTTAAATACTTCAAGCTTTTTACTTGATGAAACATGACATGCTGATTGGGTTGGAAGCTCTGACAATAGTTGTCTAAGATACCAACTGAGGAAAGGTTGAGTTTAGGTATTGATGTTATTTGATCAAATTGACTTTTTCTTTGATTAGCAAGCTGAATCTCTGAAACAAAAACAAAATCTAAAAATGTGACAGGGTCCGTCAAAATCAGTGGAGAGATGACAAATTTTGGGCGAAGTCCTTCAGAACTGAGAAAGCATGGGAAGGAAAGGAGATACTTTTTTGTTTTTATAGAATCCCTACAGTGTGGAAACTGGCCCTTTTGGCCCAACAAGTCCACATCGACCCTCTGAGCATCCCATCCAGACCCTTTCCCCTATAACCCACCTAAGCTACACATCACTGAACACTACAGGCAATTTAGTGTGGCCAATTCACCTAGCCTGCACGTCTTTGGACTGTGGGAGGAAACCAGAGTACCCGGAGGAAACCCACGCAGACACTGGGAGAATATGCAAACTCCACACAGACAGTCGCCCAAGGGTGGAATCGAACCCGGGTGCCTGGCGCTGTGAGGCAGCACTAAAGGTGGACAAGGATTAAAGCAAATAGTTCATGTGTTGAATGCCCTCCATCCTGCTTTTTTTTTAAATTTAAATGCAGTAGAAACTGTAAGATGAAGGACATCCTCTCCTCGACTCGGATGTACAGCATGGAAACAAACCCTTCAGTCCAACTCGTCCATGCCAACCAGATATCCTAAATTAATCTAGCCCCATTTGCCACGATTTGGCCCATATCCCTCTTAAACCCTTCTTATTCATATATCCATCCAGATACTTTTTAAGAGTTGTAATTAGACCAGCTTCCACTATTTCCTCTGGCAGCTCACTCAATGCATGCACCACCCTCTGCCTGGAAAAAGTTGCCCCTTAGGTCCCTTTTAAATCTTTCCCCCCTCACTCTAAACCTGTGCCCTCTAGTTTTGGATTCCGCTACACTGGGAAAAAGACCTTGACTATTTACCCCATCCATGCTCCTTGTGATTTTATAAACTTCTATGAGGTCACCCCTCAGCTTCTGACGCTGGAGGGAAAATAGCCCAGCTTATTCAGCCTCTCTCTATAGCTCAACTGTCCAACCCTGGCATGTCTTTGTAAATCTCTTTTGAACCCTTTCAAGTTTCACAACATCTCTCCTTTAGCAGAGAGACCAAAATTGAACGCAGTATTCCAAAAGAGACCCAACCAGTGTCCTGTACAGCCACATGACCTCCCGACTCTTGCACTCAGTGTACTGACCAATAAAGGCAAGCGTGCCAAATGCTGCCTTCACTACCCTGTCAACCTGCAACTCCACTTTCAAGGAACTATGAACATGCAATTCAAGGTTTCTTTATTTGGCAACACTCTCCAGGACCTTACCGTTAAGTGTATAAGTCCCGCCCTCGTAAACAGTTGATGTGTTAAGCAATAGAGAATTTTTTAAACGTCAATAGTTATAACAGCAAGAGATCCAGTGATTTGCAAAAAACAGGAAAAAAAAACCCTTAATCAGACCTTGAAGTTAGAACAGTAGATCTTTCAATGCTGAAAAGTGTTTACTTTAAAGTGAATTTCTCCAACTCTCAAATAGAAGGAAAAGAAATAAAAATGGAACTAAGCAGAATAGAAGAGACCCATTGTTTTTTGAAGCAGGATGAAAGAGAACTTTGTAACAATAAGTGCTCTTGTGCTGTAATAAATTAAATATTATTAAAATAAAAGATATTGGAATGTTGTTTTCAAGATAAGGGTTTTACAATCAATTTAGACTTGGACAATTTTAAACAGGCAAAAAGATCAAATAAAAATAATGTTTGCTCACCTTTTTTCACTTGTGAAGAAGAATCCTGCTCAAAGCTTTGCTCTGCCTTTTCTCCATTGGTATAAGACAATCTTATGTTTTCCAAGTTTTTAGTTTTTAACCATAGTTGTAGCTTTGTCAATCCTTTAAAGTAGTCCATTTTTAAAATGTGAGAAGCCATTGGAACATTTAATAAATTCCAAAAGGCAATTGTGGATTTTGATACTCTGCTTGTTTAAAAAATCAGTTTAACTCAACCAGGCCTGCCATCTGAAAGAACAAATGACTCTAGGATGTCAGGAAGGCGATAAATATATAATCGGTCACCATTACCTAAAATGTATGAAGAATGCTAATAGAAGTTAATATCTACATTTACACATACATGCACTGTATTTGTTTTTAAGTTGACATTGTGTAACATACAAAAATGGGTCTGTCTGTTTGTCTAAGCTACAATAAAATCTAGAAGAAATTAGTACAAATTTACTTACGAATATTCCTTCTGCAATTCTAGCTTTCTTCCTCCGCAGTTTCCACAAGAGAAGCCCGTGATCACAGTTTTCCCTCCAGTGAGGCACCATCTAGTAGATCTACATTCTGCAACATACGTGAAAAGCCCACTAATTACAAATGTATGTAGATAATTTCATTTTTTTAAACTCAAATTATTTGGTGAAGTCTATAATTGTTGTTTTTCATCGTTTTTATCTTTAAGTTTAGAAGACTTGTGTCTAGTAAATCGCTCTTTAAATAGGCATCAACATTGTGTTGCTCGCAGCATTCCAAGATTGTCCTTAACAATAGGGGCTTTTACCATTCAAGAGAAATGCATTATATAACAAGTAAAATTACTGAAGAAGTTAAAAAAAACATTGTAATTTAGTAACTCTTAACGAAGCCTTACTTTCTATGAGGAGATACAAAGATCCCAGGAGGCAACCTTCTGAAAGAATGCTGTATTGATTACGTATGGTTGGAGGTAGTGTGGGTGTGGAGGGGTGAGTTAGATTAGTGCTTGGGCCTTACAAAGCCATTCATTAAAAGTAAAATTGAAAAAAATTAAATAAAAAATGATTAAAGCAAAATGCAAAGAATTACAAAATTCTCAATTAAGTGCATAAAAAATCAACACAGAATCATTATAATAGTGAGTAAATTCTTGCTGTATAGCCACATTGCAAGCAATACCATGAAAAATCTTCAAGTGAGAAGCAAGCAAGTTTGGAGCAGGAAGTAATAAATATCTTCCAGCAATCACCTGTATTTTTGTACAGATAAGGTGGTTCATCTATCCATGGATCTCTACTTTTAATATAGCACTTTTACTGATT